TAAAACAGAAGTCTAAGCCATCTCTAGGTAATAAAAAAAAATGCTTAAAAAATTAATTTTTAAAAAATACAATAATCAGTTAAAACTGGGCAATTAAATGCTATTCTCAGTTTACTCATATTGCTTTGAAGGTGACATGAACGGTGAGTTCTAAGTAAGCAACAGATAGAATAACCCAAACTTTTAAAAATCTTATCACAGAGTAGAATTCCATAGCATGGTCTTTTCAAAGGGCAATGTAGAAGTAAGTTTTAAAATAAAAAGTACGAATGCTCTCAACTAAGCAATCATACTTTAAAAATTCTATACTGCACAAAAATGTGCACAAGAGTGTTATTAATGCATTATTTAACATAGCAAAAAGTAGGGAAAACATATTTAAACAGTGGGATGATGAAATAAATTATGGTATGTATAAATAAGTATGCATGTTTGTATAAATATACATAGACAAGTATGTGTGGATATATACACACCCCTATCCACACATACATATGCAGCTTTCAGAAAGTAGATCTATATTTATAGAAAAGGAAAGGAATCTATGATATATTGGGAAGTAGGAAAAAGCAAACTACAAATCAATATACTTCACTATTTTATTTTAAAAAACTGTGCCTACACATATAACAATAAATAGTAAATAAACTAAGCACTATATTAAACACTTCTTTTTAACTCTTAATTCTCACCCTGCATGTACATACACACTTACAATCACACCAGAGGAGGGTAAATTCCTTTTGTGGTCCCCTCCATAGAAGGGCATTTTTGTCAGAGTGGGGATATGGATGGGAGCATGTGAGAAAGGACCTGCACTTTTTACTATATACTGTTCTGCACCATATTAATATTTTATATTTAGCTTATACTATTTTTGAAGTTTTTAAAAACAGGACAAAATAAAGATTCCTTTGGAGGTTTTCATATAAATATGTAAGATTAAATATAGAAAAATAGAACTTTTTAGAGTATTAAAGAGTTGAACTATTTTCGTCTTTAAAAACAGGTCTTTATGAGCATGCTGATAGTTTTAAAAATAGAATACTAAGATTATATTCATCAGCAGTCTGTTATACACATTACTTTATCTAGTGAAATGATGTCAGAAGGCAAGCATGGCTGTGTGACATTCACATGACTATAGGATCACGTCGCTAGCACCCTCTCTCTTCATACCTTAAAAGGAAGTTTAAATTCTGGAGATGAAGTCCACCCTATACAACATTTAGCCCACTGATCTACTAAATTAACTTAATCCTAAGAGCTGGGCTTATGCTTAACAAAACAAATGCTAATACAACAGAAACTCATATTTAAAATAAAAATCTTCCCAATGTAATATAATACCTTTAATTAAACACTTGTTATGTGCCAGGCTTTGGGATGGAGAGGGATATGAGTAGAAAAATAAATATTAGCTATATCTTATGTTTCAGAAACTCAGTTTAATAAGACAGTAACCCACAACAAATAATAAAAGAATGGATAAAGACCAGCAGACACATATATAACCTATTCTGAGAACACAGAGAAGGGTGACCAACTAACCCCTAACTAACAAGTCTCCTGGTATCATAATTATTTTTCTCATCTTCTTAGTCTAGACAGCTATTCTTATGAGATTTCTGAGAATTTCTACATTTTACTCTATAAGGAAATAAAAATTTTGTACGAATATCAGCTCTGAAATAGGTATTAATATTAATTATTAATTCAGCATTATTAATGCTTATTAATATTTATTAATCTAGCTCTCCAACAAAATGGAATTCAAAGACACATTATATTATGATTAAATTCAGTAAGCATTTATTTTGTGCTAAGCATTTGGAGAAATTTTATCTAAAGACATTTATTTACAGCAGCGGTTCTTAACCAGAGTCGAGTCTGTCCCCCACAAAACATTTGGAAATGTCTGGAGACACTTTTGCTTGTCACATCAGGTGGAGGTGTGCTACTGGCATCTAGTGGTTAGAGGCCAGGGAAGCTCCTAAACAGACAGCTTTCCAAAACAAATAATTATCTCACCCAATATGTCAATATTGCTGAGGTTGAAAAACCCTGTTGTAGTAATAGCTTACCAATCTGCAACTCGAGCTAATAAGCAGACTCACCTCCTTAAGAGTCAGCCAAAAAAACTAGAAAAGTGGAAAAAATAGAACACAAACCTAAAAACAAACCCCAGGTTGAAAGGCTGGGACCTTGCCTCTAATGGCAGCAAGATTACCTTGGAGTCCAGAAATCAGGCCAAGATTGCCTTGCTAGTTAGGGTCAGAGTTAGGCTGTAAGTTCCCTTTTATTTAATCTAGAGCTCATACTCTCCCCATTGTATCACCACCAAGAAGCCAAATCAGATTTTATCAAGTCCAATGTTTTGGACAGTTCCTCAGACCTTGACTCAAGATTTAGTCTCTTACTAGAAAACTTCTAGTAAGTTTGGTTATCTGGCTTTTAAATGCATAAATAATTTAAAACAGAAAATAAAGGGGCTGCTATAACCTAGAACTGGGGCCAGAGGGAAACGTGAAAATTACACAGAAAAGAACAAGGCAGAACAAAAAGTCCCAAAGCCTATGATGTTCATTACAAAGATGGGTCCCTCCACACTTTACACAGCAGTACAAAGGAGAGGGGAGGGGAGGGGAGGGGAGGAGGGCAGAGGAACAAGGGAAGGAGAAGGGGTGCCACAGGGAAGGGTAACAAGAAGGGATATGAAGGGAAAAGGGGAAGAAGACAAGAGGAGAGAGAAAGAGAGTGGAGGGAAGGAGGAAGGGGAAAAGAGGTAAGGAAAGCACAGGTCAAGGAGACCGCGTGGAGGAAGCTTAGTAAGACACTGCAGGAAAAACTCAAAGGCAGAAATGAGGAAATGAAGCAGGAAAAAAGGAGTGCAACCGAACCTCACCCCAGGCAGCCTGGGACCTACATAGAGATAGATGGTGAATAAAGAAAAAAAAGAGTCCAATAGATTCCTAGAAATAGATGTTTAAATCACTCCTATTGCAAAAAGTTCCACATGTACACTGCCCATTATGGTGAGTACCTACTAGCCACAGTGGCTATGGGCACTGGAAATGGGGCTAGTCTGAATGGAGATGTGCTATAAGAGTATATACACACCTGAAAAAATGTTAAATATCCTATATAATATAAAATATACTACTTTATACTAATTACATCAAATGATAATAATATGGATATACTGGATTAAAAATATACTATTAAAATAATTTCACATTTCCCTTTACTTTTTAGTGTCGGTACTAAAATTTTTTAATTGCTTGTGTGGCTCACTATATTTCTGCTCGACAGCGCCACTCTAGATTTTTAAGGCTGCTCTAGTGTCTGTAATGGTGCCAGAGTGAAGTAAGAGAAATCACTGCCATTCTTAATATCCATCCCCAGCTTTCAGAATCCTAGTTGTCAAGGATGTGAAATTACATATCTAGGTGTCACTCTGATTATGAACAGAAACCATGAGTTCAAACTGGACATAACCTCTATTAATTTTTTAATAGTTAAATCTAAGCAAGCGGTAAAGATTTATTATAGTTGGGTGAAGAATGGTGAAATAAAACTGTAGATTTAATAGAAGGGAGTGAACTCAGGAGATGCAATCTGCAACCTTGGAACAACTTTGAGTCCTAAAGACTTGAGATTATCTGACTATCACAATGAAGGAAGGTATCTGAAGATTTTTCATTACATTCATAAAAATGAAAACATACATAGGGATATTTCTGAAAATCCCTTCTCAAGCACCTAATTCAATGTTTTTGTAAGTTTTTTTAAAAAAAAAAACAAAACCACTTTCTCATCCCTCATATAAAACAATTTTCTCATCTGTTATATAAATATAAATGCTAGAATATTCCAAAACTTCACTTAAAAAACACATGCATATATACTTGCTCCCCTATGAAAAAAGCTAACCAATTTTATATTTACTGTGCAACACGACCAACAAAACAATTCTGTTACATGGTGACTATATTCTCATCCCTTTTTACTTCTATAAAGTCAAACTAAATCCAAGCCACAGTCCAATTACTAGACAGGGGAAAATTAGAGATTTTACAGGGCTAAAACAATGTGACTCAAACTTTAATGTACACAGAAATTCACCAGAGAATCTTTGTTAAAATGTAGATTCTGATTCAGAAGGACTGCAGTGGGCTGAAAATAGTGCACGTCAAACAAGCTCCAAGGTGACGCCAATGCTGCTGGTCTGTGGTCACACTTAGAGCAGGGAAGGGGTAAGACATACAACTATTCCTACACTTAAAATGGAGCAGGGCAATTTATATTTAGTAAACTAAAATGGAAAAATAAATTTTTCCCAAAGGATCCATTCTGATTTCTATTTATGGCATCACTTCAAATAATAGGCATTTCAGTGTTTCCAAAAGTGGGCTCTCCAGAATTACCAGGCTCAGAAACATACCAATCCATCAAACTAGGGAATTCTTGGCTGCTAACAGAGATCAAGTCAATATTTATTTGGGATAAGGGCCCCTGCATTTATCTTAGGCTCTAATTGAGATCCAGAAAATGGGAATGGAGTATGAGGGAAAGAGAGAGGAAGTTCTACTATTGCTCTGGGAATAATGGTTATGTCTATGAAATGCAACATACACACATATTGATGTACAAAACATATTTATCATATATCATCAAATAAAAATAAGCATAAAAAGGCAAAATAAACACATCATTATATGAGTAATAGTGAAGACTGGATTATGGATTCTCAGCTATTTTTTCTCTCTATTCTTTTCTGAACCTACTAAATTTTCTACAATAAGCATTTAATACTTCCGTTATTCAAATACACTTTTAAATTTAAAAACACGTGACAAAATCCTTGAGAAGCATTAGAGGAAAGCTCTAATACTAAGCGCATACACAAGAATTCTTATCAACGATGTTAAGAAGTATCTAATAAGTATAATAAGGAACAGAGAATTTTAGATGATAATATTAATATTCAAGTTACTTACCTTAGTAAAGTTATTCAAATGGCCCAGCTTTCTCATATTTGAAACCCCTTGCAATTTGGCCACATTTTGGAGAATCTCCCGTAAGTTATCAGAAGGTTCTAGATGAAAAGACAGATAATTTAACATAATTTTAAAAGAGTATTTTCCCAACCAAATACAGTATTAAAATCTCACAACTTTGGCTTTTGGTTTAAATTCTTACTCTCCATTTCAACTCCATCTGCTTAGGTGACATCAAAGTTCATGTGGATGATTCATTCAATGACCTTTACACCTATATTACTCTTATATCTATGGTTCAATTCTTTGTGTCATCACCTGGAATTATTCAACCACTAACACTTAAATTTCAACATCACAAATTTCACTTCTAGCTACAATATAGTAATGGGTATCAAAAATACTGTCCTATTTGAACCAACAAAAAAACTAGACAAAATAGATGAAACTTTGGTTAAAGACACTGGACATCAGCAAGTAAAGAAAAATTATCCCTGAGCGATGAGAAACAAGCAAGTGTGCTCTACAACTGTCCCAGCTTACTGCCTTAGTAGAATCTTCAGGCCTTGGTGCTGACAGGAGAAACCTAGGCAAACTGTCTGAGCTGAAGAGACAGAGCTCATCTTGCAAAGGGACCCCTCAGATAGTCAGTACAGCAATGACTGGTGCACATATGTGTGTGAGGAAATTACCACTCAAAAGAATTAAAGGGAAGAGTACCTTGCATTCATACAGGACAGGGAGCTGTGCTTGTTCCTAAAAGCCAAATTGAGAAGTCTTAGCTCAATAGTGGGTAAAAATCAGATATAGACTAAACATTTCTTTGACCCCACTTAACAAACCTTCAAAACAAGATTTGAAAGTTTTAAACTGATTCCAAGTAACTAAACTATGTTTCAGACTAAAGCTCAAAAAGATTCATAAGCAGAGAAAAAATATGAGGCATGTAACAGGGCAAAATTTGCAATGTTTATCATCCAGTCAAAAATTATCAGGCATGCATGGCAAAGAAGCAGGAAAACATGACCCAGAATGAGCAGAAAAATCAATCAACTGAAAGTAACCCAGAACTGACAAAAATGTTAGCATTAGCAGAAAAGGACATTAAAATGGTTTTTATAACTGTAGTCTATATGTTCAAAAACATAGGTAGAGGAATGAAAGATGCATAAAAAGCTCTCAAACAATGGATGGGAATAATTGTAACGTTGAAAATAAACCAAAAGCAGCTATCCAAGATGTAACAAAAAGAGGAAAAAATAAAAGAGCATCAGGGAACTGTGGGACTTCAGGCAGCCTAATATAATTACAATATGTGTAACTGAAGTTCTTAACGGAAAGAAATGGGGGATAGAAAAATTATTTGAAACAACAGATGAAAACTTTTCAAATTTGAGGAAAATAAGCCAATAAATCCAAGAAGCTCAACCAACCCCAAGCACAAGAAACATGAAGAAAACTAGACCAAGGCACATCTTAAACAAATCAAATTGCTCAAAACCACTGGTAAAGAAAATCTTAAAAGCAACCAGATTTTAAAAAAAGACAAATTACATAGAGAAGGGCAAAGAAAAGGATGACAGCAGATTTTTTCATGGGAAACAGGCAAGTGAAAAGACAGTGAATAACATCCTTAAAATACTTAAAATTTTTAAACGCTATAAAACATGTATAGAAACCATTCTTAATTCACTTGCTTTACAAAAACAGGTCACAACCAAATATGGCCCCATGGTCAGCAGTTTGGTTGGCAACCAATGGTACAGAATGTAAATTTCTTCATGCTGCTATAACCTATTTTTCTACTAATTTTTTTAGCATCATATATGTTTGAAACAAAAGAAAAACACAGTCTAAAAAGAAACTGTATTACATTGCAGATATTTTAGTGTAAAAGCCATTATGACTTCCTTTGAGATTTTTATTAAAACACAATACCAAGGAACTATTTGCTTTGAATTAGTGTTTTCCTCAGCAAATGAAACTGTTTTTGCATTGTCCTATTTTACATTTAGCTTGCATCTGCTCACATTCTGTTATGCTGGGTGTTAGCCATGACAACCACAAATTGGTTAGTGTCAAATTCCTAGGCACACTACATACCCCAGCTATTTCCAATCACTTTGAGATTGCAACATACTGATATCATTCACTTGATCTTAGAACATCTCCTATAAATTTCGGATGTTTTCCAATTCCACTAAAATTCTATCTAATTTTAAGTGATTTAGAATATGTCTTCATAATTAGTGACTCTGAGAGTATCTTATAAGTGAAATGAAAACAGCTCATCATTGGGTGGGATCAGATCTCATTAAAAAGAATTGCAAGGGAACATGGAGACAGGAAACTTTTACAGGTAAGCCAATGATGTTAAAATGATTTAACTATATTTGAGAACTTTATAAAAAACTTACTACAAGTTTTAAGGTAATTTAGAACCTACAGGAACTTGCAGCCAGAGCTAAGGAGCCAGTGCGAAATTTACCTACTGGAAATATATAACTTAACCATTTTACATCAATTTTTAATTAGGATGTCAGGCACCAAACAAATAGTTGCACTCAAGTGATGACACAACAATGCAATGATCTGATAGGACTAATAGTGAAGATGATTAGTTTGAAAAGGTACATACTTCACAAAGGCTTGCAGATTTCCAATTATTGCCTATTTTCTAGGTATAAACTGGTCGCAGACATTTAAAAAAACACAATCATGTTACAACCATTTTACACAATCATATCAGAAATAAAATTTCATATTTCAGTTCATGCATTCAGTAAGTATTAACTGAACAACTATTATGGTCAGGTACATTTTATGCAGTGGGAATACATCAATAATCAAGACAGATCCTTCTTTAATGAACCTTAGATACAAGTGGAAGGAAACTGACAGTCAACAACAATAAAAAAACAAAATCAAAAACAAAAACTATGCACACAATTTGAAACCTGACAGATGGCAAGAAGTCAGCACTGGGACAAATGTCTGTCTACTGCATAATGATATAAAATAAACCTAATGCACTATAATACAGATGTTATCATTGTCAATACAAACCAAAATGAACCCGTCTAATTCCTTCCCTTCCTCACCCCCTTTCTCCTTTATATAATTAATTACAAGAACCTCCAACTATGGAAGAATTTCAGGGTTTCTTCATGATATATTAATTCAAGAGTATGAGAGTCATTTTAGACATGAAATACTACTGCTCATGGGCTACAATATTCCCATGGTAATGAAATGAATAAACCCTGGTTTCTTCCTTACTGGCTAGATCAGGAGTCTGCAAACTTTTTCTGTAAAGGTCCACAGAGTATCTGCAGGCCATAAGGTCTCTATTGCAACTATTTAACTCTGCTGTTGTACCAAGAAAGCAATCACAGAAAATACATAAATTAATAAATGTGGCTATGTTTCAATAACATGGCCTTGGCTCAGGAGCTGTAGTTTGCCAACTCCTATGCTACTTAGTCAGAACTTAGACTAGGAAGAGTAGTGAGCAAGCTGAGATCAATGTGGCTTTTCTTGGGAGGGTGGAGATGGGAGAGAAAAAAAAATTAAGGAAAGGTTTACCTCTCTATTTCTATCTACTCACACTTAATGTTTCCAATTTTGCTTCTCCAAAACTGTCCCAATTATAGTGCTATGTGAGAAGTATAAAGCACAAATGAGATAATCTACCAGGATATTCTCTGAACCCAAGTTGTGGAAACCCACAGCTGCATAAGAGTAAAAGAAAAAACAAAACACTGTGCCTAGCTGACTATGATGACCAACTTTTCAACTGCAAGGAAGCAAAACACAAACAAACTACTAGAATTACAGTGGCTTTTTCCCTCTTACTGTATAACTTGTAAGCTCCTGATGTACCGCTCTAGAGGTATGAAATAACTGAAGTCAACTCTAAATATCCAGCAAGTCAATATTTCATAAACACATGCACATATACATAGAGATACACACATATATACAGAGAACCACCAAGAGAAAACTACAGTAAATAAACCTTCTGTCTATATCTATATATCTACACACACACACACACAATTCCCCCTCTGGCTTAATTCTCTGTGTATATGCCTGTGTGCATACATACATTCACATATATGTATATATGTGAGTAAACATGCATTTACTTTCAAATGTTTTCAATATATGCTGCTTTGAAACATGCTGCAATATACTATATTAACCTCTTTACCTGTTAATAAAGATACAACATAAAATTACCTTTTATATAAATTTAGGTTCAAGTACACATAGTAAATTAAAGTCCACAAACTACTGGCACACAGCTACTGGGAGTAATGGAAAGAACAATTTTGGAATGAAAAAGAACTGCATTCAAATGCAGCTTTTTCATCTACAAACCATGTAACCTTGTGGGCACCCACTTTCTCATATGTGTAATGAAAATTATAATTACCTACCATGAAAGCATTGTTATAAGATGTGAGGTGTAACTTACTTAGCATAGTGCCTAGTCCATAACAGATAATAGTAGCAATTATAAATTAAAGTTATTATTTAGCAAAAACAACTGCTATAGATCAATCATGTGAAAGTTATGTGGTTAACCCAAGCAAATGTTTAATTCACATATTAGTGTGTCAAAATTGATGAATTTTTGTTATATGGTTTAGTGCATTACTTTTAGGATCCAAGATTTGCTCATTTTTAAAGGAGAAACTTTTATCATCTTATTTCCCTTCTTAAAAATATCAGAGGAATTTGGAGAGTGGAGCTGAACAGTATTTTTTGTAACTTATTTGTGAAATTATATGAACAAATGCTACATAAGCAACAAGCTAGAAAAGTCAGGCACATAAGAACTTAATAGAACAAAATTAAATATAGGTTCGTAAATCTGATGTGTACTTAATTATATCTTTAATTATATCTATGATTATTAGGAGCAGACATAAATAAAAATATGGAAATTAGTATCGTTGGTATTACCTCTGCAAAAGGCACCAGCAAATGTCTCCTCTACCAGGAGACACTAGGAGTACATCTTCTCACTCTTACCCCTAAGTCCAAAAACTGAGGAAGCACTGCTTCAAACTCTCTAACATTCCCTGAAATTCTAACAACTATTAATACCAAAGCACCGTATAATGTAGCAGGGAAAGAATCTATCCCAATGATAGCATCCTGGGAAAAGGGTCTTCCTTTACCTCTAATGCAGAGGAACTTGGGACCTCCCAGGAGAGCCTATTTCATCTTTGGACAGAGCAGTAGAATGCTATTTTCTTATAATGATGCCCAAATCTGCCCCTTTGTAATTTTCACCCATTTGTTCTGGTGTAGCCATCTGGAATGCAGAGCAAGTAGTATCTTCCCTCACATACTGAAAATAATGTTTCATCTCGAGAAACT